AGCCTTAATAGGTCTTCAAAAATATGACTCTCCTCATCCCTCACACCAAGGTCCAAAGAGGTCCAATTCTGTCACCAAACGCAGCAGTTCTCCTCCAATGTCGTGACAGATCTGGCAGCCATGCCCTTTCTGCCAAAGTTGGACAGGTCCCCACCTGTCCCAGAGGCAAGCAGAGGGAAGAAGAGGGTTCAGCCTTGGGATTGGGGAATGGGAGAAGCAAAGTCGGCAGAGGGAACAGAAGAAAACAAGGACACATACTCGACTCTTCAGTTTATTCAAGACCAAGTTGGAATAATAACACCTAGCGGGAGCCAAGAGCCTCCTCACAGATTGAGATTGTTGAGTCTCAAATTGTTGCCAAGATGTTCCAGTCAGTTGAATACAGAACCAGAGTTGTAGTTTTTGTCTTATTTCCTGGTCAGCTCCTTCTTCCACCTCCCTTTTCTATTGTTCGATTTGGCTGCTGTAAACTTCACTTCAACCTTAAGTTCAAACCTAAAAGGGGCGGTATTCCAAGGAGGAGACTCCAAGTTGACCATCTTCAATCAGCTAAAGAGAGAGACAGCTTTCAGGCAAACCTTCAAACTAGGTTTGAGGATCGTTTCATAGATCCCTCTCCTGAATCATTTTGGCAACATATTAAAAATAGCATCCTGCAGTCCTCTGAAGAATCCTTAGGGTTCTCCTTCAAGAAGAACAAGGACTGGTTTGATGAAAACAATCAAGAGATTCAGGATTTGTTGAGGAAGTAGAGAACTGCCCACCAAGCACACCTTGCTCAGCCATCTTGTCATTTGAGAAAAGCAGCCTTTCGTCTCGCATGCAGCAAGCTCCAACAGAAACTCCGTGACATCCAGAACAAGTGGTGGATCAGTCTAGCAGGAAAAACTCAATGATGCGCAGATACGGGTGATCACAGAGGATTCTATGAGGCCTTGAAAACAGCATACGGGCCTACAGACCAGCTCCAAAGCCCTCTACTCAGCGCAGATGGTCAAATGCTTCTCACAAATAAAACCTCCATTGTGAATCGATGGTCTGAACACTTTCAGACTCTTTTCAGTACCAACCGTGTAGTTCAAGACTCAGCAATTCAGTCCATTACACAACAGCCGGTGAAGAATGAATTGGATACTGCCCCTACTAGGGGAGAAACTCTTAAGGCCATACAGCAG